AGTACAATCAATGCAAACAAACCGTATGTTTAGTGCAATCGCCGGAACTGAAGGGCCAACTCTTGAATGACTTCAAACGGTTCGCCTCTAATACCATGTGTTTGTCTTTGCCTGCAATCACGTCCGCCATTGAAATGGGTTCACACATCTCCACAATTGGTCACAATTACTGTTAATTACAATCAAATAAATGACAATTTAGTCAATGAATGCCAAAAACGACAAATGAGTTGAAAGTGATTTCAATTGAGCGGCAATTCATTGTCTTTCAATAATAACGACACAAATAACGTCTTGTATTGCAATTGATTTGATTTTGAAGCGACTTTTGGATCAAATAATAGTGATTGCAATGAAAAGAAGCGAAACATCTGACGGACACAATGACGGACACAATCACACAAAGAGGTCCAACACTTGGGTCTCGTATGCATTGTTAAACTCGATGAAAGACAAGTCCATTATTGTCTTAAAGGATGAGTTGATTACTATAATCAAAGATAAATACCCAAAGGTTTGCATTGTTTGACTGATTTGGACACAAATGTGATTACAATGAATATGTTTGCCATCAGTCAAGACATCATCTGCTGGTCATTCCCAACAAGTATTCACATTTAGATTCAGTCGAAGACTTGAATGCAAATGATGTCCAACTCATTGACTACATGACAGCCAAAGCGAAACAAATATCACAAGACTTGGATCCGAGTATTGAATTCCGATTCGGTTTCCATACGATTCCGAGTCAAAGACCATTACATCTTCACGTCATTAGTCAAGACTTTGACTCCAAGTATCTCAAAACCAAAAAGCATTACAACTCCTTTACCACCCGTTTCTTCATTGATTCCAAGCGTAAAACTATTTCTTTAAAATACTTTTGGTTTACAATAATTAGCATTTATTTGATGATAAGATGTGATCGAAAATCTCAAGAATACTGGAAAAGTGGATACCATTGCGAGACAAGAGTGCGAACAACTCTTAAAGCAGGACTTGATTTGTCATTTTTGTCGATCAAAATTGTTAAATATGCCTAATCTTAGGACCCATTTATTGACTCACTTTCCCGTTTAAATTGCAATTTATTTTATTTGTGCCTAAATTATAATTACATTAAATTATTTTATTTTTGTCTAAAACTAAATGAATGCCAATAATCTAAAAGAGGAGCAAAAGTGCACTTTTAGTCCACTATTTGGTTTTGACCATCTCTTGGATCTGTTGTAACACTTGGTCTCCATTGAGTCCCGAAAGCGAGGCATTGGATTCGCGGCCGTATTCTGTGGACCAGAAATAAGACAACAATTAGCGTCAAATGAATGGTAAGTAGACATCAATTGTGTACCAAAACGGGCCCACAGTTTGGGTTCAATGCCTTTGCCTTCGCGTACAAGAAGTGGAAGATTAGGATTCGTTTGTTTCACTCTTTGGTAATGTTTTGCAACGAAATCTCTGGCAATGAAAGACATTGAATGGATGGACACAAGAGTGAGGTCTTGGGATCAATACCTGACGCCTGAACTCGAGTCCGATGTGAGACACAAATGAAGTCTTATTTCCTTCACATGTGATCCAAATCTGGACAACACTTTGACCGACATTTCAATCGCTATTTAAAACCACTATTTATTTCACGTTATTTACACTTCAATCACACATTCATTGCAATCACACATACATTACGTTTGGTCTCAAGATTTCAGGTTTTCAACTATTTGTTCATTCATTTCAATTCAAACCACAGTATTATAAAAGTGATTGTTTTTTGTTATCTATTAAAACATGTTATAAACTAACATTAATTGCATCTATAATTGATTTTTATTAAACTTTTATTTCTATTATTTATAATTTAATAATTAGACGTTATTTATAACGACAAATGTAATGTAATACTAAAATAGTGTTGTAAAGAATGAGTGCATGTATTAAATGCTTTTAATTAGACTGTAATTAAAACACGTTTATAATATTCATACAATTCTGTAAGTGTGCATGGCCATTTTTGTGTACAATTAATGTACATTCTTGTTATAGTGGTTTAACTTTACATTTGATAAAGTATTGTGATTGCAGTCAATACAACACTAGTGTGGAATAGTGTTGTATTGAGTGAAGTGAAGGCCACTCCCATTGTTTGCAACGCTATTGTTATGCAAACAATAAAACGATTGTTTTGTAAACAAAAAACAATTTATTAATTGAATCGATAGACAAGTGATTGAATGAAAGAGTAATCAATTGA